CACATTGCAAACTTGACTGATAGAATTCAGTCTACACCAAAGATAGGACTGAACACACACACACACATTACACCAGTTACTGACCAGTGTTCAATAAAAACATTATTATTCTTTAATAAATATTTAAATAGTAATTTCAGCATAATGATCTGATATTCTTTCTCAAAAAGTGCTCTGACCTTACAACATTTATAATTCTAAGTATGTATTGATATGAAACCTATACATTCCTATTAGAAAGAGGTAATTAAGCCTAGGAAGAAAGTTACACTCATAAAAAAATTGTTTAATCTTTCGAAGGCTAAGAGTGACGGCGTGCTGTTTCGAGTGATTACTGTCATTTGTTAAATGATGAACAAAAGATTCCTCTTAGTTTTTGAAGTTTTTGGAGACTTAGATCATTTTTATTACAACTGTTAGATCCTTTAATCTAAACGTCAATCTCGAAAACATTAATGGATACTGTTTGATTGTCCTGAAACCGAAGTAACAAGCCGTGACCAGCGGGATTCAATATATAAGGCTGAATTCGATCCTCATCGAAGGTCATAATACAAGTTGACAAAATTAGAACTCACAGGTCATTTAATTATGACTCGAATGTTCAACGTGATCATTCTCGCAACCTGAAGGTCTCAGGTTTGTTCCCTGGTTGGGTCGTGGGTGCACTGAAGAGTCAAAAAATAGGACGAGAAATCTACCTGTTCAGTGCTCTTTAGTTTTCAGTGAACTCTGCAGATGATCTTAGTTTGTGTTGAAATTTAACAATTGAAATCAAACAAAACTTTACATTGGTGATTATCAGATTCAGCTGCATCCACTATTACAAGCCATGAAAAACAAGGGTTGATGACTTCATGCAATACGTTTATCTGAAGTCTAAATTGAAGTATGATGAAACAGATATCATTCTGAATGATACTTTACTAAAAACAACAGAGGTTTATTGCTCAAGAAAATACAGGAATTTTTGTTGAGCAATAAAAATTTACTTACTGCATTGGATGCACATATTTTTCTGCAAACTAAGCAGAAAAAAGGACTCAATAGTGTGGGACCTCAGCAATTAAATTATTCTATTACAAGACATTTTAGACATTTTAAGACAATAAATTAGTGTGGGAATTTTCAAAGGTTGTAAAATGCTCTAATCTTCTACATGGTTTACTGTGAGATATCAATAAAAGCATCCGATGAATTGTTGGATGAATAAAAGTGATTGCCTGCTTTTCAAAACATAAAGTGAGCATGATATTGTTATTACAAATATGCAGAAGACTAATCCAACTTAATATCACCAAGGGAGAAGTTAATTTTATTCGTCAGAGAAGAAACACGAATGACTTTTTTAAATCCTTTAATAATTTGAGGAGTTTCACGGGACTGCCAAACAAATGTATGCAAACAATCCAATGGCTTTTAGAATATACGGAATATTTAGAATATGTCAGATTGAATGTATATATCCAACATTATTTATCGCTGTGCTTTTTTTACGATTAATATCGTAAAAAGAAATATAGATTACTGTAAGAAATTTAGATACAGCACACTCTCACAAATGGGTGACTTCTGTAGGTTTTTGTATAAAACTACAGTTATTTTTATAAATTAACAGAACCATTTAGTTTTTGTACCCAAGTACGACAGAGGCGAGAAAATCGACTATTTGAAAATTGGCTGCCTAGCGTGCATAAAAATTGTTCTAGTCAACTTAGAATGAAATAATATGAAATATGTATAACTTCCGTTTCAATAATTTCTAATTACGAATCAATATCGAATTGTGTAATCTACTGCTACGTTGAAAACTGCTTTTTTTGCAGTTACTCAAAAGCAGTGGCTGGAAAAATATTTTTCCTCTGTTTTATTTTACTTTTTACCTAAGATTGACGCTGTCAAGCTTGATTTCTTAAGCTTCATAGAAATTTCGTTTGCTCTTGTGTTTAAGATATTTGGGAGTATCATGATTATTGTATATTTTGTACTCTTGCATTGAAAATACTTACATAAATATGTCGCTTTCATAAGCAATGCTCTATTGTTGTAAATGTGTGTTTCCCTGTTGTAATCAGAGAGAGACTGTCTTGAAATCTATACAAATCTACTGTTTCAGTAATTCTGTTCAATATTTTCATGAAAGTCTTTCGATAAGTAAATATGCCAATGATGAAGAAATCTTCAGCTTGTAGTCAAAATATTAAAATGGTTTTTGGTGACTTCCTACAGATTGTTTTACCGATGGTTTCTTGACGGATGTAAGCTTTACACTATATGTATGTCTCATGAAGCCCGTATTACAGTTGAAATCATGCCAATATTGGGTCCATTTACTCGCATACAAGCACTATTTAAATTCTCTAGTGTTTACAACAAAATAGCTGATGGTGTATACTCAGAAGTTAGTGATCTATAAATATCGTTACACCTCATTAACCTTCATTGAGTTGCATCAAGCCTTCACAATAACATGATATTTCTCATGTTAATATTTGTCAAAATTCACTCAAAATATTTATGAAATCTTTGCACATATTTCTGGAAATTACTAAATACAAGCTGAATCACTTAGCACATAATTAAAACTTGAAACTAGGTACTACACTGATAAGTAATGCCAGAAGGATACAGTCAGGATATGGATCTTTTCAATTTTTTGACGTGAATGTCTAATAACAATGCTAAGTTTTCGCGTGTAGGACATAGTCATTTATTTGATTTTGTCTTTCTTCACAAGAGAAATGCTGTTTATAAATGCTACAATCGTGTGCGTAGAATTCAGACAGACGAGCGATTCTATGTAACATATGAACAGTATGTCAAACAGCTCTCATTCCTTTAAGATAATATGTGTATTTTGCAATTAGCACCTTCCGAAGCACTCCCACTGAAGGAGCCATATGTTATACAAATGGTTCTTAACAAGTGGAAACATATATTTTAAGGCTTTTATAATTTTTAATTATCAAACAACTCATTTCACTATATCTACAGTGGACTAATTTCAGTTTTGCACGTGAGTGAAACATTTAAAATGAGGATTTCAAGGAATGCAAAAAGAGACAACCGCATGCTTATTTTGTGACTGTCAAGTTATATTGAACAGTTAAACAAAATTTATGCACTTTAAATCTATGTATTTCGTAATATTTTTCTCCTGTACCGTCGTTGTTTTGTTATAACTGAGTGCAAACTTTTCAGCTACCTTGGACTGTAGTCGAAATTTTTGCACTTTGACTATAACTTAAATCTTTACATCCGATTCAGTTTAAGTTAAATTTATTCAGGGATTATTTCTTGAAATTATGAACTTCACAAGTGATTAAGCAACCGCTCACGCGATACACTAGGTTGTTTCTATTATTACTTAACTGGAAAATATAAGAATAATCTATTTGTTATCAATGAGAATAAACTCTGCAGTAAACATTTAGCCTCAACTGGTAATATGATTAATGTGTGCTGTGGTTATTTATATAAAACAAAGAAAATTAATTCAATTATTGAAATATATTCGAAGTATTTATTTTATCACCAAAATACTCACAACAGTAGCCCACATATTGCTAAATATCTCTTGTCGACTCAAGGTTTTTTAGTCCAGTTACCTAGTTTACCTACCAGAAAGGAAAGCACTATCAGTTGAAATGTTGTTATATGCTACCTGGATCGATCTGGTTTTCTCCTACAATTCTCGACTTCTATGTCAGAAAATAAAGTCATATGTAGCACACCAATATGTACCAACCAGTATATCACTATTATGCTGCATGCTGAAAGACTACAACTACAACTTTCAACTATAGTAAACTTCAAGATGATTTATATAATTAAGAGATAAACTCTGAATTCTTTGATAAAGTGTTCACCTTCTAACTAATCAAATAATGTTTAAGCAGTGGGAGAAAACAAACATCTGTATCTCTATTCCCCAAGTGCAAACAATGTCAGTGCACAGGACGACATTCTCATAGTTACCGACATTCTCTTACATCTAACCAAAAAGTTTTACCTGTGTTTAATGTATCAGTTAAATTATTAAGTGGAAATAATAACCTCAAGAGAATGAAAGTTTAGCATATGCTGTGAAGTAAATACAAAATTTAAATTTAAGCAGTCAGTTGCAGTAAGGCGAGAGAGAGAGAGAGAGAAAAAAAAAAGTTAAATACATAAACGCAATTTAAATATTTAATTAGTTGAAATTAAGAAATTATTAATCAAGTAAAATTAATTAAAATTTTAATCGCGAGTGAAAACCTTAAAATAGTATAATTTCACATCAGATGATAGGAGTAAATCGCCAAAAAAAAGTATTTTGCCTTCTGAGATCTGCGCTTATTGAAACTTATCAGTAAAATTAACTCATATGGCTTATAATTGTTGAAATTGCATCAATTATTAACTAAGTGACTTTAACAACAGCTAATAGTTTATACATCTCTTTAATGAAAAGTTCCACTGACTGAGTAATTTACGAAATATATGAAAATACAACTGATATTAGGAAAATAATGCTTGTCATTTTTATTGACATTCCTAAAGCGTGAAATTGACTTAGTGCTTCACTAACACATATCACGTGATCCTATACTTTTCTATATGGAAGAGTTGTATTCAAGGTGTTGGCATGCTGAATCCAATTCATTCAAAGTCGAATTTATACTGTTTTGAACATGCCATATATATATATATATATATATATATATATATATATCGAAATTCTCCATAAATAAAAATATCTAGTAGTATAAATTTGAAATGAATCTACGCTACATTTCTACGTTATAAGTAATGAAAGGCATAATCAGCGAATTTAGATTATACCACGAATTCTTCGTAATAGGTATAGAAAATGTTAATGTGACATATTTTGAAAATGCTTGCATAGTTTAATAATAATAAATGACAATATAAGCCCTGGAGGACAATCATTCTAACTACAATTTACAATGAAGTGTATTAGAATTTAAACTGTCTTATAGTGTTATACCTTAACTTACATGAATTCCAGATTGCCAATTAAATAATCTCCATATCAAACATGGAAGGTTAAATAGGAATGCTTGTAACATTAAAATGAATGGAACCCATTGATAATAGTGTATTTTTCTATTTTCACGATCTGATATATTTTCTGGTACGTTTATATCCTGAGTTGGTATGAAGTATGTGCTGGTTACCCAACATACTGACTCAGCGTATTCTTCTTGAGCACGAGTAAACTCTGTCGGTACCCAACAGGCTATTGGTTTGCCAATATACTGTCGAGCCGATATGATTAATGTGAAAATAATCAGTAATAATGAAGTAAATGTATGACTAAATCTATCAGAGAAATCATCATCCCGACGAAATTTCCCAGCATCCAATTTAAATTTTGTAAGTCCAGAAAAAAAGTGTGTATCCATAATAATAATAATGTTGCATCAAAGAGCTGGGCGGACTTTCTGATCAGTAGATATGCGCCAATATACGATGATATCAATAAATGAATACAATTGTGAACAGTGAAAATCTCTTCTCCGTAGAATAGATATTCAGCATAATATGATGTGGCAACTGCTCATCTTTTACATTCTATGTCTTCATAACAACATTTATTCGAGTAGAGACAATGATAATTAACTGAATTGGACCTTTATACAGCTGATAATAGCAATACACTTTGTTAGTTACAACAAAATAAGATGTATGGTGTCCGACACATTTGCGTATAACTGTCCCAAATCAATGATATTACCATATCCTCAGTTAGAATTCATCACTTCTTTTGCTTTCAGATTATTCCATTTCTGCATACACATACTTATATATGTTTGTATAAAAGGGGATGATAAATGATATGGTTTAATTGGTTAACGTTTGACTGGTTATTTCTCATTGGTTCAATACTCTTAGCCGCAAGTGATTTGCTAATTATATAGAAATTTATAAATAACCATTTTATAATTATTAGTTTCTCTTCTTAATTTTTGTGCATTTATTTTCTGCATTTTGTTTCCTTGCTGCTGTTGTTACTGACAAAAAAGAGAGAGGGAAACACACAGCCACAAGATGATGAGCACAGAGTGCCGGTCACATGGAGTCACAAATGACGGGACAGGCTAGCTGGCGGAATTTAATAAAACGAAAGGCCTATCAAACCAATAAGCGAAATAAATGTAGGGTATAACATTCTACACCAAGGCAGCCTAATGTTTTAAAGAAGCATATTAATCTCCGTAAACACTGAAATATTTACTAATCTTCATATCATATCCCTGAAAGCCACTTTTAGTAAAGTAGTTTACAGTTGCCGGATATCTGATATACATAAATAGATTACTCTAACTAATTACTCATTTCATGACGTTCTGGAAGGCACATAGCTTTCAAACCCCCTAAATGAAAGGAAAGATGAAGCATTTTAATCTATAAACATAAATTGTAGAGTAGAAAGTGTATTTGTGATATGCGAGCCAATCCATCCTTTCAAAAACGATGTGGCGCATGTTTTGAGAAACAGAAAGTGATATCCGAAATTTAAGTATTTACTTATTGATAAAAACGATTAGTGTTTTTTGTTGGGCTTTTACTATTCTTTTGAGTTACAAATAGGATACTGAGCTCTAAACGTTTGATCTCTCAGTAGCGAAAATGCTGTGCATACTTAGTGAGGTTGCTAGCCTGACGCACAAGCTTTCCTCTAGTCTGGGTTTGCTAATTGCTGGTAAACCAGGCTAGGTTTCTCAGTGCATCGTCTAGGAGCTGAACCGGACCTGGTGCGTGGTCAGCAGCTGTTTTATCACTGAATCAATGATGCACTTAGTTCTTAGGGTAGACTATTTGTACTTCCTCCATTTTAAGCAGTTCCATTTAGCTAAAGTTTATTCCTCTCCGATCAATACGTTGATTCTGTGACTGTTTTTCACCACCTATATGATGAATTATAATGGTTGCGTTTAGCTCAGCACCTTTTGCTGACAACTACATGTCATAGAGACAGCGGAAAAGCTATAAAGCCGAAACGCCTAATTTGAGGTTTAATGGTTAATTCATATTATTTATTGTTGTGATTTATAACAGAGAACTGTCAAAAGCAATTTGAACAACGTATATCCAATGCTCACAATAATCTGTCGACTTTAAGAAGCACTCAGTTTCAGCAAACTTTGTCTTCGTTGAAGATGCCGAAAAAATATAGTACTTCACCAAGAGTTTTACTATAAAACAATTAGCTGCATCATTTCACTTTATTTTTAGTTAACTGAAGAATTTTCACTGAGTGGTGTTGATTGAGATTCGTGACCAGACCCTTAAGTTTTGCTAAATACAGATACGTCCACTGAACAACCTCAACATCTGTCATAATTTTGTGACACTTGCTTCAATGCTACATATTTGCGATCACCTTGTACTACAATAACCATATCCTTTTAAAACAGAAGATTTCGTGACTTAGATTCTCCTTAATACATTAGAGAAAGTTGGAAGAGATATTTCCTTTTTTTCTTGTTAATCCACTTCTCAACATAATACGGCTAACAGGGAGTTATATCATGTGACACTTTTCAGCTTTGATATCTGTCTTCATCATTGCAATAGTCTCAGAGCATTAAATTTCATTTTACAAACAGGAATTTAAGCATGAATTGAAAATATTTGCCCTTTTTCATTCCTTGTTTTCTAAGTGGAACAAACTAAAAGATTTGAACTATAAAATTTCAATAGCACTCATGCTGTTTGTACCGGGGTTTCTAACCTTACTTGCAGTCTTCGTTCTTTACCAACCAGGCTTACTATCGGCTTTTCAGGCTTTAGGAATGCGTCGATCATTAAGCTGAAATGGAGCTGTCGAGTGACTGGTGAACTACCAGTATGCACACGTATAACATTTTCGGGATCGCATGATTATGCAATCGACTATTCGCTATCCAGTATTTCTCATTTTGTCGTTTTTCTTTCTAGTTAGCATCTCATTTGCATCTTACTAGTTTCCTATTGGTTCCTCAATTCAAAATTGCTTAGTCTCAATTGACTGTAGTTTCTGTTGTACATTCTCAGCAGTCACATTAATTCTATCAGCGCAGATGACGAAGTCAAAAGTGTCCGGAGATTTATGTTTGCATAGGTTTCATCTTACTGGGTCAAGGATTTCAGCGAGCAGTTTGAAAATCATAAGTCTCAGACAAATGATCTACTTCCGATCTCTAGTGTGGAACCAGAACAGTTCGAGTCTGTCATACTGCATTGCTACTATCAGTAATTTAAAGCGAAATGCAAACAATTACAAATAATATCAAAAGAGCATAAAGGACAATTAAAAACTGTTAAAAAAGGCATAGAGTTCTAATACGTCCAGGTAAAGGTCGTAAGAATTATACTAACAAATGTTGTTCCATTCTTCACAACGAAGAAGTCTTTAAATCAGTTGACCAGAAAGATAGAACGGAGGTCACTGAGAATGAATTGTCAGGAACTTTGAGGTAGTTGAATCACGAAACTATTATTTCTCCATATAGGTATGAACATCTCAAGCCGTTTAGTTCAACCACCCCTTGTTTATGTGGTCTTCCTAAGGTATATAAAGATGGTGCCCCTCTGCGACCAATAATGGATATGCTGAACTCCTCTTATCTTTTGTACATTCGAGGAAAGCTTGTATCGAGTAAATTGTTCATCTAAAATTAGTTAACCTAAGTCTAGAAGAAATACATCCTATAATGTCTCGACTTAATCACTAATTAATAATATTTAGAGCTATGGTCAACCTTCAGAAAGCAATTAGCCCTTTTTTAAATAATGTCAATATTCTGGTTATTTTATCACCTACTGAAGATGATCAAATCATTTTTCTTGCAATTCCCTCTGTTTAATAAATTCAGTTAGTGTAATTAAAAAATGGAGATGATCCGAAAAACGGTAGGTAGCAACCATCCGTAGATCCAATCCGTACTAGCCTACTATGTGTATGAAAACTACATATTGTTGACCTTAACCTATCATTGTAATCCTAATTTGATTATTTTGTCAAGGGAATTATCAACTGCTATCCTCCTTACTCCTAAATCCTTCATTATTTTATTTTAATTAAACTTTCATTTTTTTTCCACTTTTCATGTAAACTTAATTAACAAGTGTATATGTTCGAAATGTACTAGGCGAGTACATTACACTTTCAGAAAAATTCTATCTTTTAACAACTCTGTCTAACTTTCTCTACATAGCCTGGAAATAGGAATGTCTTTTGACAACAGGTGAATTCATGCATTTATGCCACCTTGGAGATTAAAACATTTTGATTTCCTATTTGGAACTCATAAGATGAATTATTTAGCGAACAGATTCCTTAAAACAGGCAGGTGTGTCTATTAAAGAACGCATTTTGTAACCATCACCTACTATTTACTTATCACAGTGAAGACACATGAGAACGCAAAGACTGTTCTGTGTACTTTAAGTTTAAAATAATTGACTGTTATACATGTTGGTGTCGTATAAGATGAGAACCACATAGTACTTAGTAGCAGCGTATTTCAAATCTAGAACAGTTTATTTCAGTATGACATAAAATTTTAATGTTTTCTTTTGGGCAATTTACTCTTTTGAAGAGAGCCAACATAACGAAGACATTAATTGGCACAAAAATATACAGTGACATAATTATATCAAAAGTTTTTCTTCACTAGTCAATGTCACTAGAATCAATGTTACAGTTTATCAGTCCTTATAGTGACCTACTTGAAGAATACATATATAATACTGATATCAAGAATGACAGTTTCTTCTTTCCTTTTCTAGGTTAGACCAAATAAATTGTTCTCATAGAATGTGTTAGGTTAACATCTAATTCTGACAGAATATATTTTTAATTCAGATACTTTAAGCGAATACTCAGGAAGATTATTTGACCAATACACTGAATGACCTTAGCCATGTTAATAATTTTCCCTTAGAACATGATAGCCTAAATTCTATAATTCAATAATATTTATAACTTTCTGAGTAAGCGAAGTAATCAATACGGTATGATGCATGTAACAGTATAGGCATTAGCCTGATGCTGATTTTCATCAGTGCATAAAAATGGGACACTTCACACTAGTTAGTAGTGTCCAATTCAAGCATACAGTACAGTCCTACAGGAGGTCAATCGCGAACCCGAATGATTGAGTGGTAATGTCTCTCACCTCAGCACTTAGTGATGCAGGTTTGAATCTCAGAAAGGGCATGAATTCCTTCAAGATTGCAGACACGCCTTGTTGATGAGTGTCAGCTAGCACGAAACCTAGGTCCAAGGCTTCCCGCTGATTGCCTTCAAACATCTAACACTGAAAATGTGTTTATCACATCATCACAAGAATCACTGGACTTACTGAAATCTTCTCAAAGCTGGAAGAGTTAGTTGGCTTTAATTGGATTGTGACAA